AACAAATCAGAAAATGTCAAAAATGTGAAAAATGAAAAAAAGGGTACCACTGGGGCTCGAACCCAGGTCCCATAAGTTAACAGGCGCGCGCTTTACCACTGGGATGGCTATACATCCTTTTATATAAACAAAACCATAAATATGTAAGGTAAATCAAGTCCTGATGACTTCATCTTCAACCTCCAACCGGTGTACCTGTAACTTCTTCATTTCTCAACAAAAATAGAAAGTGACAAAATGAAAGTTGTTGCATTCTTCCTCACGAATCTAACCATGTAAATAACTAAGGCTAAAAGTCAAAGATAAATGAGAATTTCTCTGGCCCTAATTTGAACCCTAAAAATTTCAGAAACTTCAACTCTAAAATTCTCTAAGCTCAGACCATGTAAATGCAAACTATGGATATGTACAGCTTCATGGCAATGAGGTCTACATTTTATCTTCACAAATGAAAGCCTAAAAATTCCTAAGTAATGAGATAGAAGTTCAAGAAAAATACCTCAAAACTGGAAATCGTAAAATGCAAATGAGCTTGATTCAAAGTGCTGCAAGGATCATGTTAGCTTCCTTGAGGTCCCAGGAAGCTAATGCAATGATTAGCTTGAGCTGAAAGTGGCTGAGGAGCTCTGGAGAAGTCAAGTTGCAGACCCCTGTTTTTGAAAATGGAACTTGATGATGAAGGTGTTACAGTTGAGCAAATGGACTTTGGATGGTTTGTATTTGATGTTTAGAAGCTTTTGGAAGTGAAAGGCCAAAGAACGCACGAGGGGATTTGGAGTTTGGTATGTAAAGTGAGAACTTGCACAACAATGGTGTTTTGAGACAATTTCTGGCTAGAGGGAGTTTGAGTGAGCTTTAGGGTCTTCAATCTCGTGTCCTAACTCATAAATAGTGCTTCTATTTATAAGCAACAAGTTTGGAGACTTGTTGTTGATCAGAATTTGAATTTGCATCCTTAAGCTAAACATGTGATTTTTTGAGAAAACAAGTTTCAATGCTTGTGTACTTGCTAAGATAGAGTTGTTATGCTTTAAACACACTTTCTTCTGACTTTGTAGGTGAAGTGTGATCAGAGGGAACAAGTTAGAGGCTCAAGAGTGGACTTTATGCAAAAAGCTTGCTTTACAAGAATGGCATTGTCAGCTTTCTTCCCAAAATGGCAATGTGAATTGGATAAAGCTTAAATCACTTGGATTATAGCTCAAAAGTTTGTGTAATCCATTAATTATGGAGTGACAAACAAGTTTGAGCCCTTCAAAGCAAAGATTATGCAGCCTAACATTGATTTGCATTTGTGTTCATCATGAAAATGACCTATTATTCAAGTGACAAACACCAACTTCATCTCTTCGATTATCCCTACTCAAGAATGATCTCAAGGAGTTCTTAGACATTTTGGAAAGCTTGCAATGTGATATACAACTCATATTTGAATTTCTTTTGAATATTCTCCTTAGAATTATGTGAAAAATTTCCATGAAATTAGGTCAAAAATCTGCCTAACTAGGGCAAAATTTCACTAAATCTTTTTTAGTTCATGAGCATGTGTTCACAAAATTATAACTTGAGATCCAATCACTTTTGGGAGAAGTTGTGTGAAGAAAAGTTGTAGATTTTATGGATATCTACAACTTTCATGTTGGAAGTTTCCTTTGAATCATCTTTCATCATAATGAAAAATATGCTCAAAGTTATGAAAAAATAAGAAATTTTTGACACTTAGAAAAATTTCTAAGTTTAGAAATTTTGACTTTTCAAAATGAAATCTTGATTTCTGGATTTCTTGATGAATAAGTTTCCTATTTTGACATGTTTTGATGAATTGTGATCTTTGGTACTTGAATTTGACCAAAAAGTTAAAGTTTGACTTTTCAGTATACAGTTGACTTTTGATCAGTTGATTGCAAAATTCATCTGTCAATCTAATAGACTTGCAATATTTTGAACAATACCATTAGGTCAAAATGGTACAATTGGAATCTTTAGATCATTCCTTAAAGTAATTGATCATTTTCTAGGTCAAAAATCAGAAATTGCCCTTTCCCAGTCAAAACCCTAATTTTGACCATTTTGCCCTTTTGATGATTTGATCAAATTTCTTGAGGAATTGTGGTCCAAAATTGATCAAGTGATACATATGAGTCTAAGATGTTAATGTGGATAAAAAATTATGAAGTTTGACTGTAAATTGGCCATGGTTGAATTTTTCCCCAATACAGCTGATTTTTAGGTCAATTGTTCAATTGACTGGTCAAAAGTGTGATCCAAGGCTTGAATCTTGACATGAGTAATCTTGGGAGTCCATAATGACTCATGAAAGTCATATGAGGCATTGAAAGTTCAAATGTCCTTGTGCAAACTCAAACCCTAATTTTGGTCATCAGTGCTTGAGGAGGTGTCTTGAGCTGATCAAACCCTAATGCAGTCTTGAGCTCAAGGAGATCTTGTGAGCAAATTCTTGATAAGTGAGAGGGAAAATTTTGGGGTACAACACCCTCATACTCTCAAAAAAATCATAACCGACCTTAAAACCTCCACTCTTGAGCTTAAAAACTAAAATCTTTAAATCTCTCAAACCTTGCATTTCTGTCCAAACAAGCCATCCACATACTTCATATACATCATATAGAAGTTGTTCAAACACAAGAACAACTTATGTAACATGATTATCATCACCGTCCAAACTCAAAAACATTGTCTTACAAGTTGACTTGGTTAGAGAGACCCAAACACTTTCAGCACAAAGTAAGGGTTGAAACAACTTCAAGGAGGTCTAAGGAAGCTCAACAAATATCACATTGCACCTGGAAACATCCATACACATTTTGGATTTTCACTTCAAGAGGTAAGTTTTCTCAAACTGTGATATCCTTGTTCATACATCATTTTACTTTCATTTTCAAAAGAATAAAACATGACAAATCAAAGTAGAAGAGTTGCAAACACTCAAAACTATAGAAAAATGCTTCTGGAAGTCTGACACGGTCGGCCGTGTCACCTGACACGGGCCGTGTCAGGAAGAAAATAGGAAAAATGGCAAGACAGGGTTCTGACATGGGTGCCTGTGTCACAGGACACGGCCCGTGTCCCTCTTATTGGGCTTGAAATTGCACAAAACGGAAAGACAAGGTCCTGATACGGGTGCCCGTGTCACAGGACACGGCCCATGTCAGCTCTTCTGGGACAAAAAAATCATGCAAGGATTAATTACAGGGTCCTGACACGGGTGTCTGTGTCAGCCAGACGCCAAAGTTCTTGATTTTTGAGACCTTTTGTTGATGTTTTTGGATCATTAATAGTTTGTAATAGTAATCAGGGCTTTATCGCTTTCATCCCCATTCATTAAACTTGTACCCCTATCCCCTAAAAGTATTGTAATAGCGTAGGACTTTAAATTTCTACAATTTATCGCTTTCGAATAAAATGCTAGTAATTAGGGTTTGCATGGAAAGACTAAAATCAACTAATAGAAAACTCCAATTCAAGATAAACAAAGCATGCAATCAAACACTTTTCACACGTGCACCTCTAGGATAATCTCGCTTGTTGACTACGAATAAATAGTCATGTCCCTCGAACGTGGAATACTTTAGCAATGACCCTTGAATACAAGATCATAGTCCCTCGATGACCCTTCGATGTTGCCTTCGGTAAACGATCTTAGACCCTTACGAAAAATTGCTAAGGTATCCTACAATGTTGCTTTCTATGACTATACGACGACCCACGCCCATCCCTTCACATCCAATGATAAGGCTTCCTACCAACTAATAGTAAGATAGAAATATCTAAAGGAAAAGGAAAAGAACTAAGACTTTTTGAGTAGGTAGAACGTTCATAGTTGCTTGCTCACAAACATCTTCAAAACATCTTTCAAACACACAAAAACTTTCAAATGAAATATTTTCAAAAGTCAACACTTTGTATACATTCTTATAGAGACGAGAATCATTACAAAGTTCACCTAAATGAAGGCACTTTTCAAAAATACTTTCAAAAAAAAATCACAAACACAAGACAAACAAAGCATTTCAAAGTGAGCTAACAACTAAGAGCTCGTAGATAACTATGGATGAAAATGGTGCTAACACCTTCCCTTTTCATAACCTACCCCCCGAACTCAAGAAAATATCTCAAAAGGTCTTTCCTGTTCTTTTCACCCTTTCCTTTATTGGACAAAAGAAAAGTCGATGGCAAATCTTACTATTCGTAACAATTGCGATAAAACACAAAACATCCTAGTCAGTTCTCCGACCGTATGATAGTGTGATTGCGAAAAGTTTCAAGCATATGGTGTTCCTTGTTCATATGTTATCGATGCATGTTCCATGGTTCACCAAGACGCATATGCTCTTTTGTTCGATGTTTAAAAGGTCACAAACCTATTTGGGGTTTACAACACAAGCTTTCCAGTGCTGCATTTGATGCATATTGGCCCGCTTATGACGGAGATCAAATTTGCCATAATTCAATAATACAGAGAAACAAGAAAGGCCACCCATTAAGCATACATATTAGAACGAAAATGGACACGGATGATAAGTTGAAGAGAAAATGTGCATTGTGTCATCTTTCTGGTCACAACCGAACTGGTGTCCCAATGTTGGAACTAGTAATAATTAACATTTTATTTTGTTGTCAAGTATCATTTTCAGATTACCATCAAGCTTCTCAATTGTATGAACTGTTATTAATTAAGTTTTTCTCCATGATTAAATGTCACTTTATGAACACAAAGATCTTTCACATTTAATATAAATAACAAGAATCTAGATAGAACAAAACGAATAACAACAAGTCCAAAAGACAACACATACAACAAATATCAAAACAGATAAGAATACTTAACCACAACATTTAACCTAAACATTCCTAATTGATCACAACAATCAAGCTAATTTCATTTGGTCCAAACATTATTTCCCTATGCTCCTTATCATTTGTAACTCGCACCCACCGACGTCGGGCATCATGTCTCTCAATACTTCTTTTTTCCGCCTTCAGGTATGTCTCCGTCTAAGAAACGAATCAAGTTCCTCCGTTGTTGCTTGAAACTTTGGATGTTCCAGAAGAGTATCTCCATCAGAGGCTTGTCGTTCGAATAAATCACTTTCCCTTTGCAACAACGAATCTTGTTAGAACGAGTCATCAAGAAATATCAGAAGAAATTAAGAATATATGTGAAAAAATGGATCACACAAATATGAACATATATTATTGAAAATCAAAACAGAGTCGAAATCACAATTTTTTCAAAAAATTATATTTCAAAATGATTTTTATGAAAAACTATTTAAAATAGTTTTTTTTAATAGTAAACACATTCCATTAAGTGAAAAAAACAATAGGCATTACAAAGATCAAGAGACATATGGCGTAACGCATATCCTATACATAGTCTAGCACCATTTCTAAAAGCAAAAATTACATAGGCATAGATGTCATTAAACATAGTTTGATCACAATCTAATATATGAATGATAATCACTTGCCCTTTTTCGAATTTAATTAAAGATGATTTCTTTGACTTGTGTTTGCGTATTTCAACTAATTTTAGTCTCAATACTAAAACATAAATGTATAGATTTGATAGAGTAATAAATTGCAATTTGTAGAGGATTCATAAAAACTTTGGAGAAGGGGAAAGTTGCCAACATCAAAGGTGTTGGAGCAAAACAATGAAGAGAGATACACCCACCATTGTTGAGTTTGAGATTCTAAGAACAATCCTAACAATCCTAACAAGTTTTCTATCTCTCTAAATTTTCTATTTTCAATCCGAAAGTTCTTTCAAATAATTTTAAAATTAAGTGACTTTTGAAATTTTAATATAAAAAAAAAGTCAATAAAAAACTATATAGAAAATTTGGGAAATGATTTATTCAAACTTATTGCCAGCACACGCATATTATGTACTTCTACTGCCAAATGAAATTATCTTATTTGATGCTACTGATAGTGACAACACCATTAACCCTGCTAATCCCAGTTTAATTACTTGATTTAACATTGGTTCCCTATTTTCTTTTTCTTTTTTCAGTTTTAATTTTCTATTTTAATTAATTGCTTTCTTAAATTTTCTTAAAAATTTTAGTCTCTTTTAAATTGATATCAATTTTTAGTGACATGACACTGGTAGTATGATGTGTAATTGCCTCATTACCCAAATTTAATTCCACATCATTTTCTTAAAATTTATAATTAAGTTATTTATTTTTTAAAAATATATTCAATAATATTAATAACTTATTATTATTAAAAATAACAGAAATTAATATTATTCAATTAAATTATTTTGAATTAATTTTTATATAAAATTACAAAAAATTAGTTAATTATAATTTTTTTTTAGAAATTAATGAATAATAATATACAAAACATAACTTTGTGTGTAGTGGAGTTTGTACCTACCCCCTCCAAGCTATCGAGTGGTCATTTGACCACTGAACTACACTCTTCTTTGGTTAATTTCAACCAGATATTTTATTACCAAACAAAAGATTCTTGCATAATCCACAACGTTGTTTATCTCAGAAGATCTCTTATATTTCTCCCTCAACCACTTCATGCATCTCTTTATCTTCTCCTTTTTTATTTATGTTAAAGGAACTGTCATACCACCCAATATACCTATATAAGAAAATAAAATAAAATTTAACATATAATCAATTAAGAATAGAAAAGATAACAATTCAAATAAATGCATTAATCAAGCATGTACCTATATAAATAAATGTGAAGAAATCCATGCAAGTTCCAACATAACATAGTACACTAAACTAACAACCTAGTCATAACTCCCACAAGCTCAGACCAATCCTCCTTTGCGCTCACCATGAACAACCACCTTATTGATTCATCAGTCCTTGTTCGAACTGTAATTGCCATTCTTATAATTGTTTCTTCTTTCAATTCTAACCTCAACAAGTTTGGTGGTTCCCTAAATTTCACACAATAAAGTAAATAATGATATGATATGATACTTATGGTTACCTTTAATCAGTAAAGAAGAGGACCTGTGAATTATGCAGGAAAAAATTAATCAAATTGCTGGCTACAAAATTATGCAAATACATGCAATTTCATAACCAACATCAGCATCCTAATTCAAATATAATACCTTAAGCTCACGTACCATGCTCCACCTAATCAATAAAAATACCATTGTTTTCACAAAAACCAAAATGGGGATACACATGAACTTGTTTTAATAAAAATTTAAAAGTAATTTTACTAAAAATTTACTCTGATTAGACATTGAATTTGTTTGGATTTAATATGCCAATATTGAAGTAAATTATAATTGCAAGACATATGTCACAATTGAAACATGCATCTAATCTAAAGGCTTAATACTTTTATTTTTTAATATTTTTTTCTCCATATCTAATACTTGATGTTCATTTTGCTCTCGTTAGTCATTTCCGTTTATTTTGTTAGTCAAAGTCAATCAATAAGATTACATGAGATAGGCGGTTTAGACCAGCTTTTGTGACCAATTTAACGATACAAAAATCAGTCACTAAAAATATTTTCTGGTTTTAATTGCTATCTTCATCTTCTTCGTCAAATCTGATTTATGTTGCTCAGAAACAACATAACCACAGCCGTTGAACTTGTCCAAGGCGCCAAATCCTATCCTTTGATCAGAAGATACTTGGCATGAACATGTTATCTCTGCAAAGGGACAATTGATATGCTTAAACTGTTCCCTAGCAATGCGTATAAAAAGAACATTGTCAACTCTCCATGATGCATATAAAGTTCGAGAAGATGCCGCACACAAATGCTTTCTCGTGGAACAGATTTTCAATATTTTGTGACATCTCACAAGCATTTAACTTCCATGTTGCATGTTCATTAGTACCAGGAGTTAGTAAACATCCTCCAAATCACAAAATGATTTCCGTTTAAAAACCATTTTTGGTCATAAAAAGAATTAGACCAACACATATTGTGTTAAACACAGATAATGTGGCTCAGTAAGATAAAAAAAGTATCTGGACTATACACATTCCAAAAGTACTACCGAGAACTGTTTTTGAATTCTCATACAAACGGCGTGTTATTGCCTTACATTGCCAATGACGCGTCTCCCCCAATTTTTTTAATTTGCTTCTAATGTTGTTTCTCAACTGCATTCAAAATCATACTAATCAAGTCCATCTAACCCCTCACCCCTCAAACAAACCAGTACATCAATATATGCATATCACAACACAAGACAAGATAGATTCATCAATTACATACCGCTTGTCCTTGTAACACTATAAAACAGTTGTACTGGATTTAATCTGTGCCTTGCTAAGCATGTGATGAAGATTTACAATCTACACATGAGAAACTGCACTCAGTACTCAAAATTTTCTAGCCTCAAATTGTTGGAAAAAAATTTAAATCATAATCGTTTCTATTAATCAAAATGTTTAAAACAGTATATCAAAATGTTTAAACAGTATAGAATGTATAAGACGGAAAATTAGATAAAATACTCCACTTTCTTTTCCCAGCCAATTTAGTAATAGGTTTTATTCAAGTTTTTCCTTTATTCAACTTTATTTCATTCTCCATTGTATATCCAACTATAGAATGAGAAGCGTAATTATCACTAGCAAATACTCATCCATTACTTCTCTGTTGTCCATGTTGGTTTTCAAAGTTGAATGTAAAGGTGTTTGTAGTAGAAAGAGAGATACCTGGTCATAGTACTTGTCGCTGATGATAACAAACATTGACATATGCCTTGTTTTGACACCATTTCCAATGAGAGTTCTGAAAAACTTTGACCTATATAGTGGATCTCAAAAACTATGCCTATGTTCTCCACCCGACAATTAGTATGTCTGCCATGCAAAGTTTTTCCACATCATCAAACTAATTAGGTTCATACTGAATGAAAAAATAGTCAGCAAATCTGTAATTCAAGTGCTCACTTACAAATTACAGACCTGGAGAAAATTTGCATTCTGAAAGGCAACAACAAAACCTCTCCCAGTTCAATTTTGGGCACATACTGTTGCTTCAAATTGAGGGATGGGATGAATTATGAAGTTAGGTATGCATGCAGATGCATTAAAGAAGTGGCTATTTCTCCATCCGAATGCAGCAAAACTATTTTCAATCTCCACTATATTCAAGGCAGGTGCAAGACGTCACAGATTTAATTCATCGCCTTCCAATTATACATAAAGGTTGACAACTTTTGAAGTGAAGCGAACTATGAATTTCAACTTCAAAATACAAAATAAATCAAAGTTTTACCAATAATCCCGACAAGAACATGCACCGTCACTGAAACAGTGGAATCTATTATTGTCCCTAATGACTATCTCTCTCCCTGTAACTTTTGAAATGAGTTTTATTGCCTCATGACAATCTCCACAAACACGAAGATTTTTAACAACACGGATCACATCTTTGGCACCAGTACTGATCAGTGCAAATGCAACAGCTAGTTTTTCACTATGACAGCCAAGGAAGTACTCTTTCTCCTCCTCCTCTACATCGAAGAGTACAAACTCAGTGGTTGGATTATAACCAGCTTCTTTCAAGTCCTTCAATAAGCTTTCAAGCTTTTCATATATCTTTTGTGATGATGGATGGGAAGTGTCTCCAACAAGGAATTCATGAATGACCCCGTCAACTTCAACCCAACTATACCCAGGTAACTTTTGCATTCCTTTATCATTCAATGTTGACCTGATTTTTTCTGCCTCGTCCCATCTATGACTTGCTGAATATATATTTGATAAGAGAACATAATGTCCTGAATTCCATGGTTCTAACTCAATGAGATGTTTCAGCACATGTTCAGCCAATTGGGTTTCCCGATGTAACCTACATCCACCCAACAATGCTCCCCAAACAATAGCATTAGGCTTCATTGGCATACCCTTGATTAAATTATGAGCTTCGACCATCAAACCTGCACGGGCTAGGAGATCCACCATGCATCCGTAGTGCTCAATGGTAGAAGTCACACCAAAGATACGACTCATGCTGTTAAAATAACAACGGCCATCATCAACTAGACCAGCATGGGTACATGCACAGAGCAAACCAACAAAAGTATTCTCGTCCGGTCGAATTCCATACTTTCCCATTTGCCCAAAAACTCCAAACGCAGCCCCAAAATGTCCATACATAGACAGTCCAGAAATAACAGCATTAAAGACAACACGGTCTTTCTCTTTCATCATATTGTAAACCCTCAAAGCCTCCTCCACACTTCCACATTTTGCATACAGGTCAATCAAGGAAGTACCCAACACAGGATTAGACAAAAACTCCTCCTCATCCATCAAACCCTTAGCCCAATTCCCTAACTCCAACGCTCCCAACCTCGCACACGCAGAGAGAACTCCCACCATGGCATAACAATCAGGTCTCACATTTACCTTCCTCATTTCAAAGAACAACTCAAGTGCCTCTCTTGGCAACCCATTATATGCATAACCCTGAATCATGGCACTCCAACAAACAACATCCTTCTCAACCATTCCATCAAACACACATCGCGCTTCCTCCATACTCCCACACTTAGCATACATATCCACCAAAGAGGTAGCCACAAAAACATTCTTACACAAACCACACTCACTCATACACCTATCTATCCACCTCCCACTCTCCAAATCCCCTAACCGCGCACAAGCCCTCAAAACACGAACAATAACAAAACCATCAGGTCTCAAACCCGTCTCCAACAACCCTCTAAACAAATCAACCGCTTCCCTACACTGACCAAACTCAATATACCCACAAATAATAGCAGTCCAAGACACAAGATTTTTGTCAGGAATATCATCAAACACCTTCCGGGCATCACTTAAAAACCCGCATTTGGAGTAAAAACAAACAACATTCGTTTTCACAAAAACATCATAATCAAAACCAGTTTTAATCACAAGAGAATGAATAGTAAGACCCAATTGAAAAAGGTTGAGTCTTGCACAAGCTTTGAGGACAAAAGGGAAAGTGAAGTTGTCAGGGACAAGAGAGGCTTTATGCATTGAGGCATACAACTGAACAGCATCATGGAAACGGTCGTTTGAGACCATGCCACGAATCATGGTGTTGTAAAGGAAGGTGTTCGGGTTTAAGGTTGTTTTGTGGAAAACGAGGATTGGGTAGTGGGTGTTGGAGAAGTTTAAGGAAGAGCGGAGGATGATGTTGAGGAGGTGGTTGTCGTGGTGGAGGTTGAGACGGAGGAGGCGGCAGTGAGCGAGTTTCACATGCTTCAATGACTTTAATCCTTCCAATAAGCACCATTTCTTTAGCTCTAAGGCCATTTTCCTATGCTATAGCACTGTTGTGCTAATTCATATCCCAAATTTTGTAATGCTGGAATTAGAAAAAGATAAAACCTTAAATACTAACACACATGAGAGTTCATTTTTGTAAGGATTTTGAAATCAGAACAAAATGATGATAGTAACTGTATGCAGCGAAGATTCTTCAATGACGTTAGTATTTTCGATTTCGTCTTCAATGTTGACTCCTTTGCTCTTGTTTTCACCTTTATAAACGGTTTCATCTTCAAAGATTCTTTAAATGTTGTCTCTTTCAATCGTTCTTTTCTTGGAAGTAACCTTCGTTTGTCTAATTTTGAAATGAGAACGAGCGAAATGAAGAATTGATCTTAGTCAGTCTAATTTTTGTTGGAAGCAATTCGGGAGTGTGTTTATCTTGAAATTTGGTAAACAACGCTAGTCTCTTGTTAAAAGTTGCTTTGCGAGATTTGTTGCACCCTAAAATTTACCCTCTTAATTTCAGAATTTTTTATGGCTTATGTTTCATCATACATATTCATGCACCGTGACGGGAGCAAGGTATTCTTATCTTCCTGGCTTTCTTCAAGCTATGGAGTTTGGTTGTATTGCCAATCAGCCCAAGATGGATTTCATCTCATTATTTTGATCATTCAGGCTACCAAGGCTTCTCATGCCTCAAGACACCTCAACTTATCTATCATTTCATCTGAAGATTGGAGACTGCGAGTATTGAAATGTGAAATTAGGGTTTTGTGTTTGTAATAATCGAGGATCCTTTCTTCCATAAAGCTTTTTCAATATGTCTCTTAGTCAAGTGGATTATGACTTTGTCACTAATTTCAACTGAGAATTATTTATTTATGGTTTTCATGACAAGTATCTCTTTGTATTTTAAGCCTTCCTATCTTCAAAATTTCTTCAAGGCAGTGCACTTTTTTAGGATCATTAATCATGGTATATAGTGGATCCATTCTTTCATGAAGGACAAAGGGAATATTAGAGACTATTTGGTTCATGGTCGTCAATTGAAGATTGGACTTGTTTCTTTGTTTATGATATAAGTCATTTGCTTTAGGTTTCTTTCAAGAATTTTGAATTTTAAACTTGAAGTTTGCTTTGGATTACCTTAAGAGGAATATCATTTTGATTCAATTTTTGTTCAAGAAACATCATTTTACCATTTTCATGATCGTTTGAGTTTTCTCTCAAATTCATTCATTATCATGCCGATGACGAATTTCATTCAAATTCAACATATTTGCAAAGTTGTGATCACTATAAAGTGCAACATTCATTCAAATTTACATATTTTATCAAGGCTTGCAATAAAAGTTATTTCGTTTTTAAGATTGTTTCATTACAAGACTTAAGACAAAAGAGGTTGAAAATTACAAGACTTTCGTTCATTGTTCTTCAAGATTTAAACCTATAAAGTTCTCAATAATTGCAAGCTTTTCTTATTACAAGAACCTAATCACAACATTCTAAATCCTAAGTTATCCTATGGGATTTTTTCTTCTAAAGAGTCATTTCTTCACTTCTTCAAGTTCCCCTCCAAGACTTCTTCTTCTTCAAGCTTCACACTTCAAATTTCCTTCCAAGATTCATCTATGAAGGCCACGGCCTTTTCTTCCACTTTATCTTGCCATCATCATCCATACATGAAAAAAATAAGAGAAATGTTAGTGATCAATAAACCAAAACATAAACAAGAGCCAAGAGATTTTAAAAAGGGGTTTCTCAAGCTCCATCACTAGGGTTTGTGTACGAATCAGTTTATTTAGGGAATTTTATCATGTGCCAAAAGCCTCATACATTGATTTTACATAGAAATCAGAATTCAAAGTTCAATCATAGGCCTTATCTCCTATTGCAAATCATCAAAAGAATTTTGATTCACAATAGAGGTGTAAATTGTAAACTCAGCAAAGGCCAAAAGCATCACAAGTCCAACATACAACAGAACAAATAAGTCAAAAGTGCGACAATCCAGCCCAAATAAATCATCATAGTCTGGAAAAATTAGAATTCACTCATGTTTGCAAAAATAACAAAAGCCTCATATAAAATCAGATTTAATCACAAGCCCAATTCTCCTACTGTAAATCTCAAACGAAAAACACTAAAAAGAATTTCACTTGGTTCACAATAAAAGAATTACAAACTGAAGTAACACAGGATTACACAGAAATATCGCAGCTTATCCCAACAGCATCAAGATACACATACAGTAAAATGGCAAACAACATCAAAGTCTAGAAATCAGAAAATAATAACAGATATCAGATGGAAAAAATCCCAAACAAAATTCGTTCAAGGTCTGTTACCAAAACTCAGTAAAAATTCAATTATAGCTCAACAAAGCTTTCAGAGCAAGCTTCATTTATAATCGATCCTCACCCTCCAATCCTTATAACAAACTCTCACGATGAACAACTCAGATCAAATCAAGTTCTAACGATTTTTCAAAATAACAGAACTATGAAGCAGAAATTTCAGACCAATTTGAGGCATTCTCCAACTTCTGGAAGAATCACAGAAAAAAGTTTCCATAAAATTCATCTCCAGAAAACAAAAAGAAGGTTTTCAGAAATCAAATTCATTCACAAATATCAAAGAAAACTAGAGAAGTTATCAAACTAACCCCAACCTTAAGTTCTCATCATTTTCGCTAAACACGACCCTTCAGACT